TTTTTTTTTTTTTCAAATCAACCAAATATTATAAAAATTCAATCATAGTCTTACAATCGGATACTCCACTGAGCCCAAACACATAACTTGAAAACTAAGCTAAGGAATGGCCAGAGCAGTAACATCACTGTCCGTTAATCACCGGAGAAGCTAAAGCACAACTAATTCTACATTCCCCCGGATCAAATACAAATACACAATTTACTCCATTTTCACATAACCACCAGATATCAGAGCAAATACTCTTTACCTTAGTCTCACAAACTAGTTCTTTTCTCAGAATGTTGACCACGTGCAAGTCTGGTAAGTAACAGGCCACATTTTGCTCTCTCAATGCTCCCAATTTTTGGATAATTGCCCTAATGCCCTGTAACATCCCAACCCTGCAGTCCGCTTTATCTGGTTTTATGCAAGACCATGTAAAGAGTTCCTGTCCATTCTTTTCAGCCACTCTACCAAAACCTAATCCAACCCATAGAGCTATAATGTCTTGAGATAAAGTCACCTTTATTTGAGTTATTATATTAATTCTAAGTAATTTTTGTGAGCATAAACTATTACGAATCCCGTGCAATGCACGAACAAGAGATATTCATTAATATTTATAAATTAAAAATTCTCATTAAAGAATATTTATAATTTAAAATATTGAATCAATATGTAATACAATTTACGTATATTAATTTATTGAAAATATTATATAAAATTTAAATTATGCAAATTACACAAAAATGTCTATTTAAATTCAGTACACAACCCTTAGATTACATTATATTCATTTCAAAATAAATGACAATTCAAAATTTTTATTTTTTTCCGAAACGATAGATTATTACATCAAAAGCGCACAAATGTGCGAATACAAGCAGCCAACGACTGAAAAGTGGGAGGACAGATCAGAAGACAGCCTAGAGTCCCGACTAGCAACGCTAGAATATAAAAATCCAATTAAACTAAACAACAACTAGAAAAGACCCCAACTTGGTAATACCCGAGTGTCGGATCCGCAAAGAATAATAAAGTTGACACCCGGGCTCACTGAGGCTAACGGCCCAGACCAAAAACACAGCAAAAACAACAAATAACAAGACTACTAACAAACAAAAAACTAAACAAGAAATGAGCTCTTCCAGAGCAGCGACACCTAACCGAATCAGCGGAACCAAGACGA